CGCGCTTGTTAAGCAACTGTTACGAACCATTTGAGTGACTCATGCTCTATGGTAAAAGTTGTTCTGTTACTGATGTTGTCGGTAAGGTCAAAGAGTTCACTTTGCACTTGTGTTCTTGCAGACTGTCCTCTATGGCTTACCAGTTGAATGTGTCAGGTTGCGTGTATGGTAGATTATACGAGATGTGAATGAGAATTTTCCTGGTTATGCCTATGAATCACATGGGGTGAATTTGCCTTGAGACCTGTAGACCTGTAAATGTGATGAAGTAACAGTTCGTTCGAAAGCAGTTGAAATGGTCTATCGAGTGAGACCAAACAATGTCTCATATGGTTAGAGTTAGGCAACTGTTGGCCCTTGGATTTTGGTGAAACACCACCCGGAATTAAGAATACAGGGTAGATGGAGAATCTACTGGAGGGTACTGGAGAAAATAGGTTCATCATTTGTTTTAAAAGGATGACGATTGAGTGTAAATCCAAAAGTGTGCGACAAAATGCCGCTGAGCCAGAGGGAAAAAACACGAAAGCACAAGTGAGCGATTTGCACGTATGTTCGCAGTGCTGGCTTAGCCTAATTTCACTAATTATTTCGAATTATTAGCGAACAATTTCATGATACCCAAAATTCTGATGACAAAATTTGGCACGAATTCAGTTGAACCTGTGGCGTTCATATAGCGTGTATGGAATGCACAACACAGCACTTTCAAATGAGCATAAATCTCACCTCAACAATTTAAGTTCATGAGTCCATTGATATTTTATGCATGTAGAACTTTATACGTCGATAATGGATGCGCAATGTTTTTCGTCCGCTTTTGTTATGTATTTATTCGACCGTGTATTGGCATTTCTCGCAAGCCCCGTGTTTATGTAATCAATGATCCGGTAAAACATTCTTGAGTGCCCTTATGATCCAATGCTGTAGTTCTTCCAAGCTATCAGACTTAGTGTTCAGTGCTGCGTACGCGTATGGCTCCGCATTGAAAAGCTTGTCCAGGATATATACACTTGAGTTTGAAAAGACTGATACCATGAAATATTTTAATCTTCGTCGGTAAGGCATATTCACGGCTTTACATTGTCAAATAGGAAGTTCACACTTTGCTCTAACTTGAGATGATTACAGTTCATGTTGAGCAATAAAGAAGACTATATATTTCGTTGTAGAATGGTGAATATTGCTGAGAAGAGACAATTTCCTTTCCGGTCGAACAGATAACAGCACACATGCATCATTGTGAATCATAAGATTCACCGACCAATGTAGTAATTCTTGCTTAGATAAAACTATAGATAATTGGAATATTGGGTTCGCTTGACGGCTCTATACAAAATGTCAGAGTATTTAGTGTGTGTATGTCTCAAGCGAAATACACTCACTCTACGAATTTGTGATTTTTCTTGTCTTTCGAATCTTCCGTTCTATCAAAATTAGCATATTTACAAGAGCATTTTATAACTTTTTCGAATTTGTCGGAATAATTGGTCAGAGCGATTTGGACGGCATGAAACGACACAGGCAGCATCTTATGTTGGTCATTTTTGACTTTGTAGCATGGAGTTGCTGGTTCGACGACATACTTTGCTATATAGTCAGTATTGATCTAGTAATTTGCACGTGTTTGCCAATCAGTTTTACTATATAATTCCACACTATATAATTCCACAATTCCACTCATCGGAATGAAAATAATGCACTACAGCTTAAATGTTCCAGCTGCTATATTTAATTCCTGAGGTCGACGTTTGAGATAGCAATAGCAACCGACAGGCGGAGTATAACTGTTTCCCTTACCCTCTGAAATAAATAAGTCTCAGTTCATTACGCATAAAATAAATGTTCGTGATTTAAACACAGGACATGCATTTTAATATAGTCATTCTTGCAAAATGTTAACACAAGCGCACTGTAGACAAGCTTCTATGGGTCTTAGCATTCCGTAAATCCTCCTGATATTTACCTGATTATTTGTGTTTCAATATGGTTTTTGTGTGGGATGCAATCAAATAAGCTTACCATATGACAATTAAATTGTCCGTCAGACTGTGTCAATAACAGCTCCATTTACCCCACATCAAAACTCATTTAGCTTATGAGCCAATCAAAGCAGTGATTCACACAGAACGCCCAAATGCGTTCAACTATTTGCGAACGTGGTTGGTCTGGCGATGAAAACACCACACCCAAAATCACATGGCATGTGTGCTACATAGAAGTAGATATTATGCGCGTTACATGGGGATGTGGACTCAAAATTTAGAGTAAATGACGCCGCTTAACCTACACATGTTGTTACTTGTCATCTTGGTGTTTACACTACCGAAAGAGGGTAAGCTGAACGTTGAAGAAAATATTTTATGTTTTTGTAGGTAAAACCAAACTGTTCGTATTAGCATCTTTTCAATGTGGCGCTGCAAGCGATATTGTGTTTACAATTTAATTATGCGAAAATTGCTACTAATAATCAACATAAACCTATGATGCTTTTGTAAAATATATGACTGACTCAAATATTAGTATCAACAATGTAAGATCAGTCTAGCTATTTTAAGGGGCCGACATAACCTACTCAAGTCGCAGGGAGATTAAATACCTTTTCGACTTCACCTTATAAAGTTACTTCTAAACGATTAATGCACGGCATATTGCTATTAAGATAAACGCAGTCCTTTAGAAAGCATGTTTATTTAAATCTAAATATGGATGATAGGGAAGAGAATATGCTTGTTTCAATGGTGGCTAGTGCTCAAATGTGATGATTTTATAAAGCATAATGGCGTAACAAATTATTCTTGTTATCTATTATTCATGTAGCTTTCATCCGGGCTTTGCTAGCAGATGTTATATAGTTTAACAATTATTATCTGTATTTCGTTAGGCTGCAATCAGTTTACACACCGTTTATATCGATAGATGTCGACTAATTATGGATTGTATATATGTCATACTACTTTGACATTTTGGATAGAGAGTATACCATCCCGTTAAACATCTACAAAATTATTAAAATCTATGCGCTGTTGGCACACGATATCACTTCCGACTACCCAACAACTTCTCCTAGTACAGGTGAATTTAATTCACGTCATAGAAGTTAGATGAGATTAGTGGAATTATCAACACAATATGAAGAGTCTATGTTTCCTTAGGGATCAGGACATGCAGCATTCATTTCCGGTAGGCTTCATCTCCAATATAACGTATTTTACGGATTAAAGAGGGAAGATACTTCTTAGTTGCATATTGATATTTTCATTCTCCTAAACGTAATAGAAGGATGTAAAAAATATTCGAAGCACATGGCTATAGATATATCACTTAAAACGTTTTGTCCAGAAGTGAGACGCTATGAAATTGCGTCTCGTAGAACTTATCAGCACAGTCAGAAGTCTTGTAGTGCGCGATCATCCATAAGCGAGGAGAAAAAGCAGTCGCAAGTCCAACACACTAGAAGGAGCTCGAAATAACGCAAGGAGCGGCATGCAACATGTATTCCGTAAAATCAATCACATATGTTAAGCCAACCAGATAATCAGTTCATGAATTCCGCCCATGTTGGAATAAAAGTTCAATTAACGAAGCGAGCTGTTTCCAAATAATCTCATCAGGCCATTACTAGTCTGATAAATAAAAAAGCTTCGCATTATGCTAGTGAAAGCTACTTGGAGGACTGCTGCTGTTTGAACAAGACCGGTAAGTTGGACCAATAATTAGACTTATCTACTAGACGTAGGCTACACAGGCGTTGTTACGCTGCTAGTGTCGAATATTAAAGAACAACCGCAAAGCCAAGGTAACAGTAGCGCTTTCACTAGAGTTTTCTGCTTGCACAAATCAGGGTGGATCAGCAAAATAGCCATGACCTCCACGTTCTTTACTAAAAGATTTCGAAGCGGTTTAAGGTAACGCTAATTTTCCTTCGTTGTCGATTTCACTGGTGGAATGCAATGATCGATTTGCACTGTTGACTTGAGGCAATAGTGAGAAAATTTTAATCACAAATAATAATTGTATTATCCGTTTACCTTAGATAGGAATCATAGGTTGAGACCATCAGCTGCAAGGGTCCACCTTCCAGTTTTGCTAAGAAAACATCAGCGAGAAGTGTTGTGGAGATCCCAATGCTAAACAATCAATCTGTCTGTAGTAAATTTCATAAATCAGGAACTGTCTTCTGAAAGGGCATTGTAAAATCAATTCCAATACGGTGCCAAATAGAATACTGAGGACTAAGTTATTCACGACCATGTAGTCAAAAGGAAATTTGACGGTCTCTAGCAAAGAACGTTTATAGTGATAATAAGTCCAATGAAATCATGAGTTTGTCATTTAGGAATAATTTTCTACGTGTTCAACAGATTCCACCGTGCCTTTCAACCAGTGAGTGCAAGTTATTATCGTACTGGCTCTAACACTCCCACGAGCCACTTCATGACAGGA